TTTGAGCCACTCATTTTCTCTCAACCCTAAGGAGGAGGCAATGGCAAGCCACTTTTGAAAAACCTTGCAAAGAAAACTATAGGTACTTGTCCAAAGCAGTCTCTAAGAACAGGACACGACTGAACGAAAACAATAACAAAAATTATATTGTATTTACCTGTACCCGTAACAATATAAATATTTTATTTATCAGGGACGTGGTGGCTCAGTGGCTAAGGCGCTGAGCTTGTCAATCGGAAGGTTGGCAGTTCAGTGGTTCGAATCCCTACTGCCGCGTAACGGGGCGAGCTCCCGTTACTTGTCCCAGCGTCTGCCAACCTAGCAGTTCGAAAGCACATAAAAAATGCAAGTAGAAAAATAGGGACCACCTTTGGTGGGAAGGTAAAAGCATTCCGTGCACCTTTGGCAGTGAGTCATGCCGGCCACATGACCACGGAGACGTCTTCGGACAGCACTGGCTCTTCAACTTTGAAATAGAGATGAGCACCGCCCGCTAGAGTCGAACGACTAGCACGTATGTGCGAGGGGAACCTTCACCTTTACCTGTACCTATAACAATATAAATATTTAGCTCACTAGAGTAGAGGTCCCCAACCCCATGGCCGCGGACTGGTACCAGGCTGTGATCTGTTGGAAACTGGGCTGAACAAGTGGTGGGCGAGCATGCAAAGCTTCATTTGCACTTGCGCACGAGCGGGGTTGGGCTTCTGAAACCATCCACTCCACCCTTCTCGCTGCCGCTGCTTACTTTCCATGGAGCCAGAAAGGTTGGAGATCACTGTACTAGGGACAATATCCTCCTTCATACCATGAGTGTGATATATCCTCTTAATGGGACTGCCTTAGGAGCATGTTCCTCACAGTTCAGGCATGACAAAGAAAGTCTCTTTCAATTCAGGTCCAACTTCTGTTGATTACTTGATTACTAATACTATTGTATTAGTTTCTTCTAAGATGCTTTCTAAACTTTCCAGTCTCTTAGGATGGAATGTTTTGGGTGCTGATACTTGGTAACCAGCAGGCTTTTTCTGCTATGGGACTGGTATAGTGGAATCTTCTGCTCCTGGATATGAGGTTGACTTCATCACTTCCAAACTTCCGAAGGCCCCTCAAAACCTGGTTATGAGCCATGGTGGCGCAGTGGTTAGAGTGCAGTACTGCAGGCTACTTCTGCTGACTGCCAGCTGCTTGCAATTTGGCAATTCAAATCTCACCAGGCTCATGGTTGGCTCAGCCTTCCATCCTTCCGAGGTGGGTAAAATGAGGGCCCAGATTGTTGGGGGCAATAGGCAGACTCTGCAAACCGCTTAGAGAGGGCTGTAAAGCACTGTAAAGCAGTATATAAGTCTAAGTGCTATTGCTATGCCAGCAGCCCTGGGAATCCCAGGGGATGGGAGAACTCATGAGGTGGTTCCCTTATTATTAACATCCATCTATTATTCTCTCTCCCTATTATAACTTTGCTTTTATCATTTTTAATTTTTGAAAATAATATTATATAATGGTTTTCACTAATAATTGTCTTATTTACTTACTGTTTTTACTGGATTATAGTAAAATGTACTGTTGTATGTAAAATGTTTACTGTTATACGTCACCCAGACTGACTTTCTGTGAGATAAGAAGCCATATAAGTTTGATAGACAGAGAGAGAGAGAGACAGGTGTGTGTGTGTGTGTGTGTGATAGAATAAGATGATAGAGGTAGGTGGGTTGGTGGGTGGGTAGATAGATAGATAAATAAATGGATGGATGGATGGATGGATCCTTCATTCAGATGTCAATCTTGTCCAACTGCTCAGTTTTACAAAACTAAGCAAAAGTGGCTTGGTATTGTTACCAAGTTGTGAAATTAATATGGCATATATAATTTATATCTATATGCTACATGGAAGTCCTTGTATGTACGCATCTCTTCGATATTCATACACAAATTGCATTATTTATTCAGAGTACACAAAGGTATATAGTATTACTCTGACGAAAACACATCTTAACTTGGCTTTTCCCAGACACACCTTTATAATAGATGTTTGGAATGCTCATATGTTTTCTATAGTCATGAAAAACCGAATTGATATACAAAAGAAATACAGGTAATCCTCAACTTACAAACGTTCATTTAGCAACCATTTGAAGTTACAACAACACTTTAAAAAAAGTGACATCATGACTATCCTCATGCTTATAACGGTTGCAACTTCCCCATGGTCATGTGATCAAAATTCGGATGCCTGGCAACCATTTTAACAAGGGCTGCAGCATCCCGGGGTCCTTTGTGACCTTCCCAGCTGGCTTCTAACAAGCAAAGTCATTAGGGGAACCCAGATCTGCTTAATGACCACAGGATTCACTTAATAACTGCAGTGATTCACTTAACACTGGTAAAAGTGAATATGACTCACTTAACAACAATGCTCGATCAGCAATGGAAATTCTTGTCCTAATTGGGTTTATGCATAAATATGCTTTTCCTGGCGACGAGATTCTCCAAACGTACGTACTGATTTGATTTTAGAAGGCCTTTTTTTAAACATTTCAGTACAGCTTTTATGAGGATTTCTGTGGTCATACCTTTGGATCAATCTTGACTCCTGGGTATTGCATAGAAACATTATCTTAGCAGTACAGGTAGTCCTCAAATTACAATCATTTCTTTAGTGACCTTTTGAAATTGCAGCCCTGAAAAAAGTGACTTGAGATCAGTTTTCACCCTTGCAACCATGGCAGCCCCTATGGCCATGTGTTCAAAATTTGGGCGCTTGGCAACTCGCATGTATTTATGATGGTTGCAGTGTCCCAGGTCATGTGATAACTTTTTGTGACTTTCCGATGAGCAAAGACAATGGGGAAGCCAGGTTCACTTCACAACCATGTTCCTAATTTGACATCTGCAGTGATTCACTTAACAACCATGGCAAGGAACGTCATAAAATGGGGCAAAACTCACTTAACAGCTGCCTTGTTTAGCTTAACAGAAATTCTGGGCTCAATTGTGGTCGTACGTTGAGGACTACTTGTTTTTTGGAAGTGGTTTGCCATTGAATTTTTTTCCCTCTGTGGCCGAGAGAGAATGGCTGACCAAAATTCATATAGTTCATGCTCACTCATGCCTAGGGCAAGATAGGAAGTCAGATCTCCCTGCTTGTAATCCAGCCCCTCATCCAAAGGGCACACTGGCTCTTCAAAACTAATGTACAAACTCATAATATAAAAGAGAAAATGTTTAGGCAGGCAATGTCAATCTGTTCTCCATAGGTCTCAAAGTGCAGAAGCCTCCCCCTCCCCCTCCCTTTTGCAGGAAAGTTGATTAGCCATCTGTTGAGCGTGGGCAAAGCTTTTAATCCTGCAGCTATTCCAAAACATTCCCCCTATTTTGGATTTCCACCTATTCTTTTTGCTATTTTGAAATGCTGCCGTTTTTGAGCATTGTCCTATTCATTTTGCTTCAAGTGCGCAGATGTAACACACACACACAAATACACACCCCTTCTCCTATTCAAGTGCATTGATTTCAGCCTTGCTTTACTTTTCAAAGGGTCATCACAGTGGACTGAAATAGCCCAAAGCCATAAAAAGAAGCTGGTGCGGGTGAACTCAGGAGTGAGTTTGCAAATTGTTTATTATGCTTTTCCCATCTGTCTTTTTCAAGCAATTCAAGCTGGGTCTATCTTTACTTTTAGGAGTGTGTGTGTGTGTGTGTGTGTGTGTGTGTGTGTGTGTAAAACTCAGATCTCCCAAGACTTAGCCAAGCACTAGACCATGTTGTGAAGCTCTTACTGTGTATCTCCCCCTCTAACTTCAGAGAATTGAATCAAACCTTCACCCAGCTCTCTAGCTACCCTGTCACACTGCAAAATAACAGTAATAATGGGAGTGACAGTAGTAATAATACACATGGTATTACCATATACCATTTGCATATGGTAGTTCTAGTAAATATTCAAAGCACTTCATGTTCAGTTTATCCTAACCCTTAAAGCAGCTTCAGGGTAGAAAACCAATGTATTATCTCCATATTCAGGATGGGGCAGACAGGGGCTCAGGCTTTGTCCAAAACCACATCCTGATTAGTTTGCACAACACTCTAGTGTAGTTCACAGGGCTGGCCATCGGGTTGTCAAGTGAACCAGGCGATTCCATGAAGTTGTAGCATGACCGATGTCTTTGCACAGGCTCTGGCATATAAAACAACCCGGATTCAAGGTTTAGTTTAGCGTGTTGTGTGAATCTGGCCCCCACACATCGTGCAAGCAGCTGATCTTCGAATCGAGCCTTTCAGTTGCACAGCTGGGTCGTCTACAAAGCAAAAAGCCGCTGCCTACCACCCAATCCGCGGAGCTCTCTCCACGGAGAATCCATGAATGCGAAGTGCTCCTTTCGTGCACCGATCCAAACTTCCCGCATTCACAACGTGCAAATGCGGGACCCACGGAGGCCCCAGTCACACAAATACACCGCATACACCCATGCGCCCAATACAGACCAAGGCAAACCTCCCCCTCCCCTTTCGCTCGCACGTCTCTTCCCAAAGCAGGCGACTTAAGAGTGAATTGGGGGGCGGGAGGGGAGAGGGCAGCTTGCCATTGGTCGCTTCCTCGACCTTTTTTACGCCCTCCCCCCTCCTCCTTGCACCGAGAGGGTTAAAAAGGAAAGGTGTGCCGCTTCGGGCGAGCGGGGGGGGGGATCTCCCTCCAAAGGCCCGATCACCTTACCCAACCCGTCTTCCACTGCAGAGATAGGCGGAGGCGGGAACCAACTCGCATTCCCCTCCTTCTTACCAACAGTCCCTCACACTTCCAGGAATCACCCAGAGGGGGAAAAAAAAAAAAGCAGCAGCAGCAAAAGGGGAGGGGGACGGAGCGCGCGGGGTTGATACAGCCACTTCCTGCCAATCACAGCTCTGTCAGCCACTCCCCAGCGACCAATGAAAGTGGCGACCATTCATAAAAATAAATACTCGGCCACGCTCCCCCCCCCGCCCCCCCTCGCCTTCTCCGATTCCTCCGCTAACGGGAAAGGCGCTTCTCGCTTCAGAAACGCGCACGTACGTTCACACGCATTTCCAGGAAACCAGAGAGGGGCCGCGATTCTTTGGCCAAAGGAAATAGATTGGCGCTGTTCTTCCACCCTCCTCCTCCTCCTCCTCCTCCTCCTCCTCCATTTCACTCCCCAACTCCCAGCCCCAGCCCCGTAAACTTCCACCTCTTTCTACTCTTCCCCGTCCGAGCTGGGGAGGCAAAAGCTCCGTCCGAGACCATCCCGACGCGCGGTCCGCCTTCGCCCACCTCCATCCTCCCGCCGCCGCTACCGCTCGAAAGATGGGGGAAAGGGGCGATCGCGCCGGACCCGCTTCCCGCAGCCCAGCCTGCAAAGCCGAGTCCGTGTTTTAAATCGATTTCTTTGCTCGCCCCCTTTCGTTTTCCCCGCTCCCCGGAGAAACCCAGGCACCGCTCGGCTTTCCTCGATAACAAAGGTAAGTTTAGCAAAACTCTTAGGGCTTTCGGAGCGAGTGCGGGGGATGTTGTTTCCCTAGCCGGGGGGCGGGGAGGGGGTTGTGGGCTGGGGGCTGGGGGCTGCGAAAGTTGGGAAGAAGAAGAAACCTGTTCCAGCCACTCTTAAGCAAGATATGGGCTCCCGAACTCTCAGGGCTGGTAGCGGAGTATGGTAAACTCTTCCGATGCTGGTTTATTTGGAGGGTAAATCGAGGAGGGAAGCCCCACTCTGGCTTTGGCGCTTAATTTTGTTTTTTTAGGATGGGAGAGGCTGGAAGGTTGCCAAATAAGAATAATAACTCGACAATCAGATGAACTTGGAATCTGGCAAAATTCAAATTAACGTCCCAGCGATTAAGTCCCGCGAAGCTTAAACTGCTTTATAAAAGATTAGGAATGCCACAATGCAAAATAGCCAACTTTTCGTGTTTGACGCCCTCTCAACTTTTAAACCTAACAGCATGCATGGCTAGGAATACCCGAGTGTGTCTTTCTCTTTGTGTAGTGAAAAATAGCTGCATTTTACATAGATTTCATGCAAGTGGGTTTGCTTCCAATACCAGAGGAAACCTGTAATAAAGTTTTGTTTACCAGCCGTGATTTTCCCATTTCTTTCATTAATCTGTAACTATTCACTAGCAGTCTCCTCTTTCTTCGTTCTATTTCTCATCTGCAGTTATGAGAAAAGAATAAAAACCAACAACAAAAATCAAGCAATTCGTAGAACATCGCTTAGCCTGGAGAATTACTTGAGTTTCCATCCCTTGCAGCTGCAGCTGTGAAGATTTGTGGAGGAAGCTGCTGATTGATTTTTGTGCAGATAAGCACAATTTAAAGTAGAGGATCCTTTAAAAGTGCCTAAAAGGAGAAAATATTTCATATGTAACTGGAGAATTAATCATATCAACTCTGTTTAAGTAAAAGGAAAATGAAAGCAAATTTAGTGAGGTTTGATACAAGTAGTTCTTGACTTAAGGACCGCAGTTGAGCTCAAAATTTCCATTGCTAAGCACGACAGTTGTTAAGTGAATTTTGCTCCATTTTATGATCTTTCTTGCCACAGTTGTTAAGTGAACCATTGCAGTTGTTAAGTGAATAACATGGTTGTTAATTGAATCTGGCTTTCCCATTGACTTTGCTTGTCAGAAGGCCACAAAAGGTAATCACATAACCCCAGGACACTGGAACTGTCATAAATATGTGCCAGTTGCCAAGTCTCTGAATTTTAATCACTTGGGGATGCAACAAAGATCATAATTATGAAAATTAAGTCCCTTTTTTCAGTGGTGATATAATTTCAAACCGTCACTAAATGAATGGTTGTAAATCGGAGATTACTTGTATGGGCTCAAAGAGCAGAGTGGCCCTTGGTCCAGAAAAAGTGTGCAATTTTTGTTTAAAGACACAACCCAATCCAAGCTAGTACAGTAAGGTTTAAAATAATCTAAGTAGATACTCAAAAGATCTCCTGTTGTATTCTCATTCTGTTGAAACATTTAAGAGTTCTTTCTCAGTGGATGATGTTTTTATTTCATTTTTTATGTCAAACCTTCTCTAATGACAAAAAATGTTCTTCTCTCCATCATATTGAAGTTAGTTTGACTGTATACTAAATGTCTGTATTTATTTATTTATTTACATCCTGCCTTTATTATTTTTGCAAATAACAAGACAATGAACAGATCCAACACACTTTCCTCCTCCTATTTCCTCCACCACCAACCCACACACACAACAATCCTGTGAGGTAGGTTGGGCTGAAGGAGAGTAACCTGCTGGCTTTCATGGCTAAGAAGGGACTTGAACTCACGGTCTCCCACTTTCTAGTCTAGTGCCTTAATCAGTAGAATAGACCAAACCAGCTCCCAATGGTGGAAATTTCCTCTTAATACCCAAAATGAAAGATAAAGAAGGATGCATCTCCTAGAATTATCGGTAGATAAGAAGAGTGACTCATTCAGAGACTGAAGAGCCTCTTTTGAAGGGAGGTGCTTCAGGCTACAGAAGCTGTCACTAGTTGCTTGTACATCAGTACAAGCTATTGATTTATTTAGCCTGTTAATGTCACTTCTTGCTCTCTACTACTTGCTACTCAGTCGGTTTCTAAATGGAGATGACAAGGGCTGAACTAGGACCACCTCTATTAATGTACTTAGGCCCCCTTTCTCTGGTCTCCTTATTTTCTGTTGCACAACTGAACCAGGCTGGGAGTGGTTGATTTATGTCCAGGATTTGCTTATCTGTGCAGACGATAATTCAAAGGATTTTGGAATTGGGAGAGACTAGCAGAGAGTTCATATCCCAGAGTTCATATCCCATGATGTTGTATTTACAGAACTAGCCTCTCTAATTCTGCTGGCAGCTAAACAGATTCCTTCTAGGTCAGATGTAGATTGGAAATGACCTAAACTTGACAAGTTTGAGTTCAGATGCTACTCCCCGTAAAATGGGCCACATTTTCCTGTGTGAGGCTACTTCAGGACATGTTTTTTTTAGCAAAAAACAACAACAACCAAGTCTCGCATGGGATTGTATTTACACAGAAGCAATAACTCACTTGGGTTTTTCAGATGGAATCTGTGAAATAGGATATTAGAATCTTACTGCTGAGAGATTGTGACTTTTCAACTGTGCTAAATTTTCTCTCTTCCCAGTAAAGTATTATTCACAGATTAGTTAAAAACAGCTTTATGTCAAGAGTTTTCAGTACAGGTAGTCCTTGACTTAACAACAGTTCATTTAGTGACCATTCAAAGTTACAACAACACTGAAAAATGTGACATTATCATTTTTCACAGTTACAAACTTTGGAGCATCTCCATGGACACATGATCAAAATCCAGATGCTTGGCAACTGGTTCATATTTATAACCGTTGCTATGTCCCGGGGTCATGTGATCACCTTTTGCAACCTTCTGATCCGCAAAATCAATGGGGAAGCCAGATTCACTTAACAACTGGGTTACTAACACATCAACTGAAGTATTCATTTAACAACTGTGGATTGTAAAATGGGGCAAAACTCACTTAACAACAGAAATTTGGGGCTCAATTGTGGCTGTAAGTCAAGGACCACCTATAATGTCCTCTTCTCATTTTTTGTGTAGTGGTTTAAGGCAGCAGGTTAGAAAATAGGAGATCCTGAATTCTAGTCTTGCCTTAGGCATGAAGCCACCTGAAGCATTTTGAGTCATTCTATCCCAGCCTAGGAAGGAAGCAATATAATAGGAAACACTTCAAAGAAATGTGGCCAGAAAAACTGTCAGGACTTGTCTTGTTTCTCACATGAAAAGTACTATGCCCTCAAGATACCAATATTGCATTTTAGGAGAAGAGACACTAGATTTTTTTAAAAAATATATAACTTTATTAAAGATTTTAAAAACAAGAGTAAAATTAGTACAAACTAAAATAGAACAAGAAAGAAAAACGAAGATCCAGTGCCGCGAACAAGTAGTGGATGGCTTTTATGGAGTGCTGAATAGGAAACAAGGCCATGTTTTTAAAGAGTCCCAAGTGGCTGGGACCCCATGTTTGTGGTCAAGGCCTACCTGCCTGTGAACAAATCTTATGGTTTCACGGCCGACTTGAGATCCAACACCGGAGGCCAGGCTTTCCCGCAGTGCATGTTCGATCACTGGCAGATTCTCCCCGGGGAGCCCTTCGACAGCGCCAGCCGTCCTTCTCAAGTGGTCAGCGAGACACGCAAACGGAAAGGGCTGAAAGAAGGCATCCCCACGCTGGATAACTTCCTGGATAAATTGTAAACCAATTGAATGAAATAATACCGTACCAGATCTTTAAAAAAAGAATAAATTTTAAAAATGGCAAAAAAAAAAAAAGAAAAGAAAGAAAAATGAAGAAACAAAAGAGAAAACTAAAGTGCAAAAAAAGAAAGAAGAAAAATAGGAAAGAAAGAAAAAAGATTAAGAAGTGGCATCTAATTTTTATAAAAGTTATAAGTGCAATTGTAGTTTTACTTCTTTCTCCAAAGACACAGAGACTCTAAATTTCTAAATGCAGGGAAATGTTAATGAATATGAGCTGTCAAATATGCCATCTTCAACCTACTGCTTTTTACTGATATAGTCCCAGAAATATTTTTTTCCTAATGCTAATGAATCTGAGATTACTTTTAGAGTTGAAGTTGACGATACTCCTTTTGTTGTTGGTATCTATGTATTAAAATTCTTTATTTGCAGGGAAATAGACAAAGAATTTTAACACATCTTATATTCTTCCTGGCAAAGATTTATTTTAAAAAATCATGGTAACAGTAGAATAATAGGCCTAATTCTTATTTACCGGACTGATTACATGAGATAATTTTGGAATGTGGTGTACATAAATCCTTCTATCCAGAGACTCAAGAGGCAAAATTTAAGGTAGTGTATATTATTTATTATAATTAATTTATTAATTATATACCATTCTGGGATAAACCAAAAGCACGGATAATGTTACTGCAATGAAATGTCTGCAAGAAGAATGCCAAGATCAGAGGTCGTTAGGAACCCAAATATTCAGTCCTGATTTATGTAGATTCTCCATTGCTGCAATTATCTTTATCAGTACTTCAGACAAAATATTGCTCAAGGCCAAACATTTTCTTAGATTCTGAACAGCTCTTGTTGATTTCATGAACTTGGCCACTCAGTTTTCTTGGCAACTACATAATAGTGATTTTGGTCAGTTTTTTCAGTTGTTACTTTCACTTCCTGCTCTAGTTTTCAGCCATGAAATTCCCTGGAAAGCTATCATCCAAATCTCAACCAGGACTCATCCTGCTTAGCTCTGGAGCCTATATAAACTTAATCAGGAGCTGCTACCTGCAACTCTCCCAGGATCTTAAGATACTTCAATAGGACGCATTTTATAGGATCAGAATGAAGATTTAAGAGTAGGCTTCCTCAATCTGGTGGTCTCCAGATTCATTATACTACAAGTCCTGTTATCCCCACCTGACATGTAATAGTGAGAAGTTGTGTCCAATGCATCTGAAGGGTGACCAGGTTGAGAATGCCAAATGACTTATGGGTAATTTTTTGACTTACAACCATTAGTTTAATGACTGCTCAGAGTTACAGTGGTGCTGGGAAAAAAGGACTTATGATCAGTCCTGCAATTACAACTATCCCAAAATCCCTGCAGTCACTTGATCAAAATGAGTACAACTCACTTAATGACCTCATTGTTTAGTGATGGAAGTTCTGGTCCCACTTGAGAACTAACTGTATTACTTACAAATCAGTAAGAGCAACAATTTGAGAGCAAGCAGACATCTTGTCAAACACACAATGTGTCATTCTAATTTTTGCTCCCTGAAGATGTTTGGCAGGAATTCCAGTAAAGGTAAAGGTTCCCCTTGCACATATGTACTAGTTGTTCCTGACTCTAGGGGTGCTCATCTCAGTTTCAAAGCCAAAGAGCCAGCGCTGTCCAAAGATATCTCCGTGGTCATGTGGCCGGCATGACTAAGCCCCAAAGGCACATGGAACGCTGTTATCTTCCCACTAAAGCTGGTCCCTATTTTTCTAGGTGCATTTTTTAGGTGCTTTCGAACTGCTAGGTTGGGACAAGTAACGGGAGCTCAAACTGCTGACCTTTCAATTGACAAGCTCAGCACCTTAGCCACTGAGCCACCGTGTCCCTTAGGAATTCCAGTAGATTCTCTCAAAAGTACATTTCATTGCAGTTGACGGCTGATCTTGAAAAAAGTTAAGCAGGTTGGACCTGTTTGGTGTTCAAATGGATGACAGGAAACCAATATCTCACCCTAGAAGAAAATCATGGTAAACTACTTCTGTGTTTTTATCAAGAAAGCAACGTGGACATGTTAGCTAGGCAGCCATTAGACATCAGAGTCAACTGGGAAAGGTCTTTTGTCATTTCTTTCGCAAGCTGCAGGCTAGTTTTCTTTGCCAATCCTGGACTGGGTCCCTTCTCCAGTTCTGTCTTTCAGTGGTTGCTGAGTTAGTCTTTTCCTCTTTGAAGGACCAGTTAATTCTGTCAACCAATAACAAGCCCTCCGATTATGAAACAGAATCCTGCTTTCTCTGGCCTAGACATGTTCTGAGTTACGTAATAGTTTCAAAACCATCTTGTAACTGAGATCAATGGTGAGATTAAATACTTTTTAAAGAAGTTAAATTGATCAGAAAAGGAAGCTGCCATGGTTGGGCTCTTAGCAAGAGAAGTGTCCGGGCTCGATAGCAGAAAGAAGGAAAGGGGAAGCAATTGTTAGCAGTCTAACACACAGCAAATGGAAGAGGCCGTTTCTGAAAAACTGCCATGAATTGAAAAATTAGCAACCCAGATCAGAAGTTAGAATAACATTTATTTCCATGCTGTGCTTTCCACTTTGGGGAAATTTTATTCTGGGGCAACTGGATTCTCCCTCCGATGTCCATGTCTGATCTTCTGGTTAGAAGATCAATTGCCCACAAATCTGTTCTCTTAAACTGCTCCCTACAAGAGATTGGTCTTGGGGGAGAAAAACCTCCATCAATTGTGGGTGCTCCAACACTTGAAGTTTTCAAGATGAGATTGGAGATCCATTTGTCCAAAATGGTATAGTTATCTGCTTGAGCAGGGATTGGACTAGAAGACCTCCAGGGTGCCTCCCAACCCTATGATCCTATGTTCTAAAAGGGAATCCCAGAACTAGAATAGAGCTGCAAGATTGCATGAAGCTTTCTTGTATTTTTATATACAGATCTTGTATGATCTGTGGGGGAATGATGCTTAGCCACTCTTGCCTATTCCTCTGTTCTTCCCCATAACCACCCTGAAGGGAAACCTACTGGTTCTTCTGTCTGTCAATCAGTTTAAGAAGCAAACACTTTGGCTCATCTCTTCTATGAATTTTGCAAGGGTGGCTGGTTTTGTTGCAGGAATGAATCTGCACCTTGAGAAGCTCAGGTTTCTTTGAGATAGATCTGTATAGGTAGCAGTTTAAAAATACATGAAATCCATACTAGTTCTTACAGGTAGTCCTCTATTTACAACCATTTATATAGCAACCATTCAAAATTACAGGTAGTCCTCGACTTACAATAGTTCATTTAGTGACCATTCAAAGTTACAACGGCACTGGAAAATGTGACTTATGACCATTTTTCACACGTATGACCATGGCAGCATCCCCATGATCATGTGATCAAAATTCAAATGCTTGACAATTGGTTCATATTTATGACCATTGCTGTGTCATGGGATCTCCTTTTGCAACTTCTGACAAGCAAAGTCAACGGGGAAACCAGATTCACGTAACAACCGTGTTACTAACTTAACAACTGCAGTGATTCACTTAACAACTGTGGCCAGAAAGATCATAAAGTGGGGCAAAATTCAATTAACAATTTTTGTCTCAGTTGTGGTCGTAAATTGATCTGTATATCTCTTGTATCTACTCTTTAGCATCAGAGCGGAAATTTATTTGTACGTACTCTCTTCCCTGTACCCTAGGCTCAATAGAGTCAAAATTCTTCATAAAATGTCAAATTCCATATTTTGAGACTACAACTTTTTAATTCCCCAGACTTGAACAACTCAGTTCAGGCTCTTTGCAAAAAGCTGTGCTCTATAGCAAGGGTCACCAACCTTTCAGACCTCAGGGACATAAATTCATAATTTTATATCCTGCGGACCACTAATACAAATTTTTTAAAAAGATAAATAGTATTTAGTGCAATATAAAAAATGCAGATAATTTTTCTGCAGACCACCAACATTTTCTCACAGACCGCCAGTGGTCCATGGACCACCAGTTGGTGACCGCTGCTCCATAGTGTGATGCTTAGAAAAACTCCATGCAATAAACTATCAATAAAATACAAGTAGTTCTTGACTTACAATTCATTTAGTGACCATTCAAAGTTACAGCGGCACTGAAAAAAGAGACTTATGACCATTTTTCAGTTATGACCTTTACAGAATCCCCATAATCATGCGATCAAAATTCAGACGCTTGGCAACTGACTTATACTTATGACCGTTGCTTGTGTCCCAAGGTGACCTTCTGACAAGTAAAGTCAACGGAGAAGCCAGATTCACTTAACAACCGTGTTACTAACTTAACAACTGCAGTGATTCACTTAACAACTGTGGCCAGAAAGGTCGTAAAGTGGGGCAAAATTCACTTAACAAATGTCTCACTTAGCAACAGAAATTTTGGGCTCTACTCTGGTCATAAGTTGAGGACTACCTGTATTTAGAATGTTTGGGATTTGGGTACTGATAAGCAAAGTCAGGCTATTTTCCCAATACTTTTTGCCAAATCTGTTGTGTTGGACAAAACTTGTCTAAAATTTTGCACGTAAACGTTAAAATCAGTCAGTGAAGAATTTGAGATTAAGAGAAAAGCCTAGTTTGAAATGTAAAAAAAAAAGGGGGGGGGGGTCAGCAATAGACCACTTGTAGCTTTGAAGCTGCATTCAGCTCTACACTTAATTAGGAGATTAAAGTTAGATAAGTAATACCCTTTTCTACTTTTCTTTTTCATAAAAAGGCTTCGTGAAGTAGACTTGATGACATATTGCTCTTGGCTCAAGGTCAACTAATGAGTTCCATGGCTGAGTTTGAGCCTCTATTTCTCTCTAAAAGGGGAACTTATGAAATGCATGGAGAAATGGGCTCGTTGCACTTTTTCTCTCTCTCTCTCTGTGCCCATTTTTCAATGCACAACCTCCTTCTGTCTATTATTCAAATACAGGTAATCCTCGACCTATGAACACAATTGAGACCAAAATTTCTGTTGCCAAGCAAGGCAATTAATAGCAATAGCATGTACACTTTATATACTGCTTCACAGTGCTTTACAGCCCACTCTAAGCTGCTTACAGAATCAGCATATTGCCCCCAACAATCTGGGTCCTGATTTTACCGACCTCAGATGGATGGAAGGCTGAGTCAACCTTGAACCGATGAGAATCGAACTGCTGAACTGCAGGCAGGCAGCAGAATCAGCCTGCAATACTAACCACTACTAATCAATTAAGAGAGTTGTGCCCCGTTTTATGACGTATTTTTTTGCCATAGTTAAGCAAATCACTACGTTTTTTTAAAGTGAATCATCTGGCGTTAAGCGAATCTGGATTCTCCCATTCACTTTGCTTATCAGAAGCTCCCTAGAAAGCTTTTAAATGACAATCTGAAGACCCTGAGATGCTGAGATCATTGTAAATATATGCTGGTTGCCAAACATCTAAACTTTGATCATGTGACTTAGGAAGCTGCAACGGTCATAAGTGTGAGGAACTGATCATAAATTGCCTTTTTCAGTGCCATTGTCATTTTGAACAGCCATTAAATGAATGTTGTAAGTTGAGGATTACCCGTACCAAATATTTTGACTCACCAGGCCAAATCAGACTAACATCCTTGATGCGAGTGATGTTCAGGTGCCTCTCTGTGAATTAACTTTATCTTCCTTTTCAGATGCAGCTCTGATAAATGATCAAGCAGTCCACTAGTCAATTGGTGGCGCAATGGTCCCCCTGTGCTGTTGCTGCCCGCCGGCATCTGCACCAATCGTGGTGGCCATGACAGGCCCTGCCGTCCCTTCCTACCATTTCAAGAGTTTCTGTGGAGAGTTTGAGCGGGTGGAAAGTGCCTTGGAACGATTGGAGGCCAGTGGCTTCTACTGGGGCAGCCTGTCAGGAGCTGAAGCCAAGAGGCTCTTGACTTCCCAGCCTCCTGGTGTCTTCCTGGTGAGAGATTCCTCCGACCATCATCACCTCTTCACCTTGAGTGTCCGCACCAGGACAGGCATCACCAACCTGCGTATTCAGCAGCAGGACTCCGCTTTCCACCTGGAGGCCTTGCCAGGAGCTGGCCATCCCCCAGCTTTCAGTTGCGTGGTCCAGTTAGTTGAGTATTATCTCTGCCTGGGGGCTGTGGAAGGGGGTCCCTGCTACTTGGAGAGCGAGGGTCAGCCTCCGGTGCCTTTGGCCCTCTCACAGCCACTCCGTTGCAAGGTGCCCACTTTGCAGGAGTTGTGTCAGCGGGCTGTACGAGCCACCGTGCACGGCAGAGGTGACACCAGAGCTCAGCTGCAGAGGCTGCCAGTCCCCCAGGCATTATTGAACTCTATCTGCAGCTAAAAGGAAGCACCAGTTTTAAGACCTTTTAATGAATGCAGAGTTGGGGCCTTCCTTGTTAGAATGGATGAGCAGTGCTGGTTGTAGATAGTGTACTGCTGATGCACCACTATTTTCTTGGAATAAACCATCTTGACAGATAAGCCAACCATTTCATTGTGGAGCTATTTATAATGAGCCTTCCAAAAGCTATTGAAAATTATCTGAAAAAAGGGGTTGGCAGAGTAGGTTAGTCAACAATATGGAAATGTGTATCCTATATAATCCCCTTCCCCATTTTTCCAAGTTAGCCACTTCCACATTTCAAATGCTTCTTGTGCACAGGTAGTATAGCAGAAAACTTTTACTCTATCCATAGGCAGAGCTGCCCTAAGCACCTCCCAACTGTTCTCGTCTTTAGTTGAAAGGTGTGTGACAAGTTTGTGTGAAAGTCCCCATGACAAATATCTCTGCTAACTGTACAAGGAACACCTGTCAAGTCTGCAGCAGCACTGCCCAGTAGTGAAGTCAACAAGGACAGAATTGGTGTTTAGCTGCAACTATTGTGCATCTTTCTCTACAAACTCTCAGGCGGACAAGAAGATTGTACACCCAGTAACAAGGAGAATGTTTGAATCTACAACCAAGAGCCTTCTCTGGTTTCTTTCTTTAGATAACCCCAAGGCCAGTCTGAAGGCAGATTTTGAGCAATAAACCACACTGCACCAAATCCACAGCAGTCCTCTCCTTCTCCATTTCCACTTTGACCACTGTGTGATCCTGAAATCTCTCCTTCCCCCACTTCCAGTCACCGCCTTTAGTAAAGGTTATTACTGTAACTTGACAGCTTTCAAGAATGCTGACTCAGAAACCAGTTACGAGAAAGAAAAAAAGTTCAGTGACTTGAGTGTTTTTATAGGCAGCCAGCACAGATATACTAAAGGGTGAGCGAGATACCAGTCTCTGAGGAAACAAGAGACTGCATAGTAAAGGGACAATAGAAGAAAAACAAAATCCCAAACCTTGCAGCAGCAAAGGTTAGAAAATGTGATTGCAGATGGTAATTTTGTGCATCTCGTGCAAAACTTTAAAGTAGCACAGCTCAATGATACTCCATTCTTAAGAACTATTCAATTTTTAGTCCTAAAAAATGTTTTTAAGGAACCTAAAAACGCCTTCTCAAATAAACCTTGATCATCTGCAAACTGACTTGATTCTTTTGCTTTTGAGTTCATTTATGATTTCTTACTGGCAAGGCAGACCTCTTCCTGGATCCTACTGGGAAGCCTAGCCAATTCCTCTCCAACAATAAGTAAAAGTATGTGTTTTTATCAGAGGCCAGTTTGCTTTCCTGCTTCCTGAATGAAAGTAACAAAGCTTGCAAGAGGTAAAAGTTAGCAGTGAAGGAATTCATCTCCTCAGAGTCTAGCTTATCTCCCGTTTTTATTAATTGTTCACCTTTGCACTATTTTTATCAGCAAGACCTTACCAATAAACTCTTAAGAGGAAAATAGTAGAGTGTATGTGTGCATCCATTTTGGAAATAATTCTATTTGGGACAGTACAGCAAAGTATAGAGAAGTGATATTGAGGGTGCAGGGAACAATGACCAAAGCCCACGTCAGAAATGGCCTCTCCAGTTTAAATTTGGCAAGACAAAGACAAACAAAAGGAAAGAATGAGGTGAAAAGGGAAGAAGCCGATCTAAAATCATGGCTTGGGAGTGTGTGGCTGAGTTGGAGCTAAAATAGTGTAAAGGAAAGAATTGTGCCCATGAGGCATTTTCAAACAGCCAGGCCTGCCATCTCCTCTCCCAGCTCATTTGCATTGCCAATCTTCCTCTCTGCTCCCTTCTCATATTCCATTCCCCTTTGTACAAGAAGCAAACACTTCAATCTGGGAAGTTTGAAGCCAACATTGAATTCACACAGCTCTCATTGCTGGGTGACCAGAGGCAAGAAAAAACACGTTTAAGTTACCACAGGTTTGTAATTCTCTTGACGCCATGGAACTACACTATGTTATCGACAAATACTTTTTATTGGATGTTAGTAAGATAGGCTCAATGGCCCACTGGTTTATATGCCAGGAAAGCCATATTCTACATTTTAATCTTCCTCTTCATCATCTGCACCTCCAGCACCACCCTGGCCCTTCTTGGCATTCTTCCTCTTGACACGGCCTGGCCGGCCACCACCATAAGGTGAACGGAGGGAGAAGTCAATGTGCTTTTGGGAATCCAGCCGGACAATGAAGGAAGGGATGTTCACCACTTGCTTCCTTACACTAAGAGGGAGAAAGGAAATGATTAGATTAGTGAATCAATAATCTTGTCTAGAACTCGTGGGAAATATTTGACAAAACAAACAAACTCTACAAATATTTCCTGAGTTCACAGCCTACCCTCAACATTCAGAAGTCAAAGCCCCAACGGCCACTGACTTCAGGGTTATGAGCAGAGTGACTACAAAGGCTTCTGTTTGAAACCTAATTTCACTCAGGGAATCTGTGCTCTTTGAGGTTGTTTGTTTTCTTGCAGATATATCATTACCCAAAATCTAGGTAACATCACAAGGACCCCCCATTTCAACCCTGAGCTATATTCTATTGGAGTTTCAATCTTTAAAGGAGCAATTGTTACTAACGATTTATAGAACAATCAGAAGTGTAACTGCTGACTGGACAGTAACCTATTCAGATAAAAACAATGATCAAATTTTATGCTTTATAATTTTAATCAGGTTTTATCCCCCATTCTCCCCCCCTCCAAACTATTTAAAATTGCCTTGCCAATGTGCAAGGGATGTATTCCGTGCTAGGGAAAAAGCAAAGTACCAGTTGCAATTTGCAAGTAAACAGAACCTATTATGGACTACCATATTCAGTACACTAGAATCCTATACTGATTTACAAAACAGATATGGAACTATATTTCAGAAGTAGCCAATGTACCATGGAAATTGTTTTATATGTGAACATTGCTGTTACTGCCTATAATAGATAAAACCTACCTAATTCCAGCTGGTGGTAAAATATATGCTTAATTAAGGAAATGTAGTCCACTAGAAAGTCAAACTACAACTCCTGGCAACTTTTTTTGCTGCGGTTGCTTACTGGAATTTAGCAACTGAAGACAGTAAACATTTCCTCCAAGCTGTTGCAAAATCCATCAATTTACTTGTACAGAAGGATCTTATCAGGTTACTGCTGTGCTTGCTAAATAGGAGCAGTACTTGGTGTTACCTTGGCCACCCATGTGGCAGACTTTCACAAGGTGTACGGCCAAGCCGCAGTGAACCTTGCCGAAATCTTTGAGAGTTGCTTTGACACTGCTAGTCTATTGAGCTATCCAAGGATTCGATCCACAAAAGGGTTGGGTGGTATATAAAGACCCAAACCAAGGCCGGGACCACAGTTATCGCTGCACAGGCTACACATAAAAGATATTGCAAATGTTATTTCAGAAGTATATATTCTGATGCTGACACCCAATGTCAATAGTTCATAGTTAACTTTACACTCCCCAAACTTTGGCTCTCAGCAGCATACCGGATGTGTCTCTGGCGGATAAGCACACGAGCATGATGGATGGATTTAGCCAGGCCCAGTTTGAAGACCTGGGTTTGGAGACGACGCTCCAGGAAATCCTCAATTTTCAGACCCAGGATATAATCCAGTTTCATTTTGCCTTCATCCAGCACCCCAATCCTGACCAAACGACGCAGCAAGGCATTGCCTGAGAGAAAGTTGAGAGACATCAACAAACTGAACGGCATGCGTTAAAAGAGACAATGTTCAGATTAGCATATTTATGGGTACAAAATTGAAAAAGAAACAACCATCACAGTTAACTGGCTTTAAAAAAAAAAAAAAAAAAAACAAATTAAGCAATCCCAGGATATAGAAATGATATTGGGACAATCACAGCGTCAGAGGTAGATTGTGGAATGTATTATCAATAACTGCATATTTTCAACTGACCAGAGACCTTGAGATGAAAGTGCAAATCACACCTCAACAACAATGGCAACCTTGTTTGCAGAACATATTTAGTTCAATCAGACTGTTCTGTCAATTCTCAACCACTTAACTGACTCAAAAATTGGTATTACAGAAACCCTACTCATTTATTTCAGAAAGAGCCCAGTATCTCAGCAAACACTTACATAGGGAGAGTAATAGCATTTTCACTAAACCCTTTCTCATTACTCAGGCTGGCAGAGTACTGGCTTGGCCACTGCAGCCAATCTGTTTCTGACTGGTATTTTCTTACCTTTCCAACCTTGGTAGTGAATTTCATAATAGACAAGATTGTTTTAAACTTTTTTTTTTAAAGGATGAGGCATGCAAGCTAGAAAGGGTAGTTTAAGCTTGTCGTAACTAGGTCTGTTTACAACTAAATTCAACTATCAGGGGTAAACTGATTGGCTCAATTAATCCCATTTTGGTATTTCCATCACACTCTCCTCCCTTGACCCCATTTAACATGTTGTGGAAACCAGGCCTTTGTATAATCTTATAACATATACCACCTATCTTATAATCAGATTAGTGACTTACAAAGCTGGTATGAGGAAAAAAAGTTAAATATATCAAGGTACTCAGCAGGCTTCAAGTGAGTCATAGGTCCCGAAAGCAACAGCGCCACCAAAGCTGTTGTTCATCTAGTTTTGCCATATTACCTTCAAAAAGGCGTCGCTGATCTTTCTCATCCAGGGTGAGCAGCTCTCGGGCAGCTTTGCGGATCTTGGCCAAAGTGAACTTCACTCGCCATACCTCACGTTTGTTCCGCAGTCCATATTCACCTAGTAAAAGAATTCTGAAAGCTTAAATGCAGTTACTTTAAAGGTCGCAACAATTCAATCAAGGACAGATTCTTTTCCCAACTTGTAAATTCTTTTCAGGATTAGCCCCATTCCTCTGGAAAAACTTGCTCTTGATTAGTGTACCTCTTCCATTGTAGTATAATTTTTTTATTAAAGTTTTATAAAAGACATAAAAACTGATATAAACTAATACAGAGCAGAAATAAAGAAAAAAGGGGGAAAGTGTGCAGAAGGAATCAGAAAGAAAAAATGGGAGCTTCCAATTTCCTTTGCATTGTATATAACAAAGACAGTTTAGTGTAGTGGTTAAGGTGCTGGCCTACAAACCAGGAGGCTGTGAGTTCTAGTTCCACCTTAGGCATGAAAACCAGCTTAATGACCATGAGCCAGTCATCTCACTTCAACTCACTTCACAGGGTGGAGAAAATAAGGAGGAGGAGTGTTATTGGTATGTTCACCACCTTAAGTTTATATATTTGCATGTAATTATTTATATATTTGTGTGTGGGTATATACATACCCACCCTTTCCCCAAAATGAGACCAGGTCTTATTTTCTTTTGGGCCCCAAAATAAGCACCAGGTCTTATTTTTGAGGGATGTCTTACTTGCTTACCACTGCAGCCAGGCCAACACGTGTCATGCTGCTGACCAACTTCTTCTGGGGCCGCTTGTGGCCAGCCACCACACGTGGCCGCAAAAGTCAGGCAGTGGCGCAGGTCAGGGCATGGGAGGCCTGGCTGCAAAGGACCTAAGGTAAGCAGGTGCAGAGCATGTAGGGCAGCTCCACCTCCCCAACCCTGGCCAACCTTGATTTTTATACATGCATCTCACCCCACCTCATACAACCAGATGGTAGGATGGAGTGGGCGGGGCTTATTTTTGGGGTAGGATTTATATTAGGTGCAGGCATAAATTGTTTTTCAGGGTAATTTGTATTTTCAGGGAAACACAGTTTGCGTATGTGTGTGTGTATACACACACATATTAAATTAGAAAACCCCCTCCCTTTTCTATGATTTCCTCCAAATCATCAAAATCACAATGCAGAAGTCTCTAAGGGGCTTCCAATTCTTCTTTATATTTTTCAAAAAAAAAAAAAAACCCCAATCTCCTCTGGACAGAATTCAATCTGAATCTTTGTTAAGGCAAAACTCATCCCTTCCAATTTTTCCCATCAAAATTATTATTATTTTTTTTGTTTTAATTTTTCAGCTGGATAATTCATTTCCCAACTAAAGAGTGTTTTTTTTTTCCCCCTCAAACATTGTGACATTTTGGGAGACGAGAGAAAGGCAACAACAGCCTGGGACTTTTTTCATAGAATCATATTGCTGGAAGGGACCTTGGAGGTCTTCTACCCCAAGCCCCTTGCCCAAAGCAGGAATCCTTATACCATCTTGGATAAATGGTTGTCCAACTTTTTTAAAAACCTCCAGCGATAGAACACCCACAACTCCAGGAGGCAAGCTGTTTCATTGACTATTTTCAGTTGACAGCAGCTATGAAATTATTTATAGTTCTTAATAGTTTTGTTATCCATTCATTTAACAGATTGTTGCACAATTTATCTAGAATGAAGAGATAAATAAATGAATAAATCTTACCAATAAGTTTCAACTCCTGATCAAGGCGTGATTTTTCAAAAGGCCGCCTGGGGGTGACATAAGTCTTCCGACATACCCAAC